CGTGCGTCATACCTTGATTTAAAATAATAATAATAATAATATTATGTAGTTGGTAAGTTGGTTCGTATAGGTAGTAAAAGTAAATCGCGTGGGTGTAACCCTTGGGCGCCTGTAGTGACGAGCAACAAGTGTCCCGAGGGATCTATCTATGTCATGCTGTATACAGAGATAAACTTATAGAAGTCGCTAGCCCAATTATAGCGGCTTCATATAAGTGTACTTATAAAATGTGATAATATAATATATTTCATTATCATGTCCGGTGGTGTAGAGGCGTCATCGTCGCAAAATAATTACAAAATACATTTTATAATAAATAATTAAACCTATAAAAATCATACCGATATTGGTGACAATGCTCACGTGTACCTACTAAATATTAAAGATAATTTATCCATTTATGCGAAACATGATTAAATTAATTTATTAAATAAAGTGACTGTATGACTGTATAGGCCAGCGGTTCCCAAACTTTTTTAGCTCACGGCGCCCTTTTTGAACTAAACTTTTCTCAAGGCGCCCTTCCCAAGACATAGCATGAATTTATTTTATACTATAGTATAGGCCTATCCTATAGTCCATAGATCGACACAGATTTCGTACACTGTACATGATATGGTGGAGCAAAAATAACTAAAAATAAGACTATGGATTTGAACGGTATTTACAAAACAATATAATATGAAGAAGTCCCTTTTCGAATGTCTACATAATTTAAGTGTCAAGTTTATCTTTCGTATATTATGATATAAGATTTCGATCGCTCAGTGAAAAATATAATAAAAAGTGATATTATCGTGAATCGTGATATAAATTTACTTCACACATGAGCGCAATTCAATACCTAGTATAATTAATCCAAGTATTTAATTTGATGTAGGTAATAACTAATATCTAAGTGTTGGCGTATGTGGCCACACTGATTTATTAGTATGAGCATGAGCCAAGCAGATACCTATTGCTACCTAAAATACATAAAACTGCCACTGAGTCAATAATAATAATTATAAAAACCAACAGCAACCATTTACAAACAAACATTTCCATCGTAAATCTCATAATCACTATTTTACAATACCTCCCCGGGTCGGACATCTAATTTATTCTTTTTAAATTAGCCCATGTTACATTTATTTAGCATTCTAATGGTGAAATAATTTTTGAAATCGGTACGGTAGTTTTGAGTTTACCTATTCGTTACAAACATCCAAATGTTTCCTCTCTATAATATTAATATAGATTATATTCGTTGCTTGAAAGACTGACACATAGCTAAAAAACTATTTAACAAAAAAATAAATTTATTAAGCTGCATAAGATAAAAATAGATTTGAAACAGTTGGCTAAGCGAGTAAAATATTTATACATATATTACATATTATATAGTTATAAATCAATGCCTATCCCGTCGGTCTTGTAACATAATATAATAATATGTGTGTTTTACTTCACGAGATTCGTGACAACTGCTAAGTTCATGCAATTTCAATTAGTTGGATATCTCTTACAGCACGACACAATATGTATCTACTCATACGTCGTGATTTTCGACATCCTTTATTATTATCACTGGAATTATTTAAATATCATAGTCGATATAAACTAACAGTGTTAAACGAAAGTCAGCATAGGTAGATTGTTCACAGATAGGTAATTACAGAGGCTGTATGGAGAGTATCCCGAGAGTATGTATGGATTTGTGTTGGCGACGATATTACAGCTACTTCGCTTATTATACGGAATGGGTGTAAATGACAGAGATCCTTTTTGGTTTTATTTCGTTTATGCGGAGCTGTTGACATGATATACTTTATCAAGCCCACAGTTTAATCTCCTGCAGGTATTAGCGTTATAAGTGTCGTCGTATTCTGCAACGTTATCGATGGCAATATCTTTTTCTGTAGGCGTAAAGTGCGACCACCGCGGTGACTTTGGAACTGCTATGCCGCCTTTCCTCACAGATCCTTAAGGATCGGTTGTTTTTTGAGACATAGATATACGCACGGTTGATGTTAGGTAGAGTAGGTTCTAGGTAGGACTAGGTTTGTCGTTAAGAGTTACGTATATAGACTTGATGCTAATGTTGCGCCATGAATATCGTAATTCCCGAACTGCAGGTGACGGCGCTGTACCTATAATATTCTATCGATTGGCGTTTTCAGGCAGAGGGGTGTAATAGTATAATAACGAGCGACAACACATTCTTGTATTATTATTATTTTTATACGACTCCGACCTGGTCGCCTGCATTTACGACGCTATTAAACGCCACGGCGTGGGATCACTGCGGCGCGCCGACATTCGGCGTATAAAGTGTATCTGATCTGCATATATATAGGTATAGGTACAAAGCAGGTCTGCTATAGTCGGTATGTGTTTATTACGTATATAATATGGCATTAAAGGCGCAATGCGACTTTAGGATTTCCAGACGAGGACCACGCGAAACTCGTGTGTAGGTACTCGTCTTACTATAATATAATATGTAAGTTTACATTATATATAATATGTATAATAATATATTATAGAGTATAAAGTATACACATCCGACGACGTCGCAAAATTTCGTATAAAAAAAAATTACGTACAAATTTGAATCTGAATAATTTATAATTACTGTCACTTCCGCTTGTATGACCACACACGATACATCCGACCGGTTATTGCCTATCTATACACACACATCTTTACCGATGCATACACACACACACACACACACACACACACACACACACACACACACCTAACCTAACCTAACACATACATAGGTACAAACTCAAACGGATATGCACACGCATGCATGTCGCATACTATAATATTATGTATACTTTTAGATAAAATAACGCTAACAAATTAAATACAATATAGGTACTGCTGTCCCATATCCATATGTCTGCATTAGAGGGGTACGATAAAAGAAACATAATAAATAGTGTACGAACGGGGCTACCCCCACACAAAGTGCAAGACATATATTATTGCAATATAATATATAATAATCGACTTTGAAATCCACCTTTTCCATATTTCTGCTCCTGTAGTAGGTATGTGGTAGATATTTGTATGAGAACCGTTTTTGCGCACATTTTGATTATTATTCCGTATTTTAGCTTAAAAGTTAATTACAAATAATTATATAATATAATACATACAAAATATTAGTTTGTATATATTATGCACAAACGCCAAACCCCATTACATTTTGCGACTGTACTGTAATGGTAATAAATTGCACTCAAACGGTTGTCAACATAGTATTTACAATACTCATAGCTCATACCCCCTTCATATATTATACGTCCTTTTCAATACACTGTCTGAAAGTAGAATACACCTGACTGCTGACCTGCTCGGCGACGCATATCTCCCACATAAAGGCATAGGTGACCGGTGAAAGGGGATAAAAGTGCGCAGGGTAGTTTGAGATAGAATATAGGTAAAACGGCCTTATATTCATAAGTGGGGGGAAATCAAATTTTTTTACAACTTTACATTTCACTAAACTATACTAATAGTAATAAAGAAAGGTCGATATCGGGGGGAAACCGTTTGGTCGAAAATGTTGTCACTGCCGCCGAGAACGACCTACAGCAGTAGTTGGAGAAAAATATGAGTGACCTATGATGCAATATTAATATCTTCGTCTTTTGTTTACCGTGCTATTATTTTATAGCAATGTACCACATGCGAATCACATGTGTCGTCGGGAGGACGCGATACCCGGGGTCACGGTTTACTTTTTGTCCGGCATTATCGTATGTACATCACACAGGGTTTTGATATCTTCAATATATGCAGTTGACCCCCCGTCGTCAAACGACTATATATGGTGTGCAGTCTCCGTGGGCATTTTAACATCTCGAAGTGAGTTATGAGTCAAGAATTGTGCTTATATATGTCGTCTCACGTCGCGATACAAAAACTATTACTGGTACTGGAAAATACCGCGACGAATGACGTTTTTCTATCTTCGATTCTTGCAATAGTGGGTCAACAGATTATGTATATATGTTTAATCCTCAAAAACTATACAAATACATACAACGATTAAACAATTGATTTGTGTACTGCTCCACTAAGTCAGAGCTGAGTTGGTGATGGTCCTTGGTGGTCATGTATAACAATCGAACTTAGTTGAATTTTTTTTGGTTAGCTGCGGTATATGTTGTTTGGTATAAATTAATTTCATAATGATTAAATAATTAATGAAATATCAACAATAATTGTTATTATTATCAATAATTATAATAGGTACATAATATTTGGTACGAATACAATTTTTATTACTATAATATGCATATAAGCAATTTTGTAAATTTAGAATAAAGACATTGATTTGAGATTTTGATCTTGTGGCCGTGTTATGATCAACAATATACTTTATTCTTCAACTCGTATTTAGCTTATAAATGATAATATACGCCTATCTATTGTAAATTAATTCAATATAATATGTAAAGAGTATTAAAAGTTAATTAATTAATTAATATATTTCAGTCAAATAAATTACAATAATAATAGTTGATACCTACGTAATTATTATATTATTAATTACCTAATGAAATATATTACTATTTACAATTTTTTAATTTTCTATAACAAACTTACTGAAATTTTTATTGTAAAAACACACAAATCTAAGAATATCAAATAAAAATATGGCCATAGATTTCTTTTTTTTAACTTCATTTTTAGAGTATTAAAAAAGTACGTTTTAAGTTTTCAATTGTTTATGCAATAAATATAAATTAGGTATATAAATCTGATAGTGAAAATACATTAGTGATAGTTCATTGTTATAAGTATTATTTTATCTCGCTTGAATAATGCGTTGTCAAAATCGTAATAACATTTCATACCGAAAAAATAATAAACTGTATTTTACTTTTAATTACATTTCTTAAACTAACTACGCACAAACAACTCTCCCTTCTCTCTCTGATTACATGGCTCCGTGTATGAGTTTCAGCAGTTAGTAACCATGTGTTTTGTCATTTCAGGTCCTAGGACTCGGCGAGCGAAGAAAAAGGACAAGCAGCAGCAGGACGAGAAGAGGCCTCGGACCGCGTTTAGTGGCGACCAGCTGGCCCGGCTCAAGAAAGAGTTCACCGAGAATCGGTACTTGACCGAGAGACGGAGACAGGAGCTGGCCAACGAGCTAGGCCTGAACGAGGCACAGATAAAAATTTGGTTCCAGAACAAGCGGGCCAAGATCAAGAAGGCCAGTGGCACCAAAAACCCGCTCGCCCTGCAGCTGATGGCCCAGGGCCTGTACAACCACAGCACGGTCATGGTTACTAAGGAGGAGGAGGAACAGCTGGCCGCGGCACAAGTAAGTTCATTATCAAAAATTGATAACTTTACAAAGATCCGTTAACATGCAAACAAATTGAAATCGAAATATATTTTGTTTGATATACATTATTTTGAATAATTAATGGTATCGTCGAAATATCAGGGAATAACGACATTAAATGCATTGTTCTAGAAATAGATATTGCAAAAATATAATTTATACGCTTAAAAAAACATCAGGACATAAAATAATGTATAGGTAGGTAGGTTATCTAGTATTTCTCAACATACCTAAAATATAGGTACCTATAAACTTCTTTGGATTTGAAAGATTTTACGTATAGAACGTGCAACCTACTGCAGAAATCAAAAATATGCATTCCCAATTATAAATAATAAAGCACGTAGAATGATACATTTCGTGTTTGTTTTGGTCGTCGTCCGCCGAACTCCCACCGAAACCTGTTTCGTGGGTGTTTTAAATCTAAAAAATAGAATAATATTATATTCTATATCCGTGGTGGTTTTAATAATCGACTTCATACGGGTGTTGTATGTTTGTACATGCTTGTGTGTGTGTTGCAAGCGTATATACCTACACCGAAATTCGTTCGAGGACTATTCATAAACATTGGCGTGCACCGGGAAAAAGGGGACTCGTATAATATATTATTATCGTAGGTATATGATAATAAACACACGGGCTGTTGTAATATTTTATATGATATAACAATTTATTGCGCAGTGATGATGATGGTTGTAGACGTGCGTGGTAAATATATTGTAAAAGTCCAGCCAGCGGCGACGGGTTTAAGGCGCTCCTCATTTCCATAAGCTTCTAATCGTTATTGGTTTCCTCGACAATCTTGCCACAACGAAAAGTTGCACTAGTTGACGCACAATTTTCATAAACACTTGGATGAAAATTAAAATTTCAATAATGCTTTTAAAGAGACAACATTGTTAATAGCACCTTTTATAAACAAAATGAAGACAAAGCCAATAGCGAATATCTAGGTACTATTTATTCGATATTGCAATACCAATATCGATATGATTTTATTTTTTATCAACAATAATTAAAACATTTTACAAAATTAAAAAATTTTACCTTTTGCCTATAGAAAATGGTTATTTTAACATTTGGTGGAAATTTCAAATGTTCACGGTTACATTACATAATATAGATTACTATATATATATAAAAGTACCTATATTGTTCTTTAAAATGTCGTGAATGTGAATTTTAAAATAATATAATAATATAAAAATATTTTTTAATTTTTTTGTTGGTTCCTGATAGGAAATTGATTCTAATTGGTACTTTTGAAATCAACTTTCAACATTGAAAATCCCCAGTATTTTTAAAAAACGTCGGGAAAAATGAAAAAAAAAATTAAGGAAGGATTTTAATTTTTACGCAACACCGGTTTTCGACAAAATCGATTATATACTTTTGGCAGATATAACTCACAAACAAATATGAATTATAACTGATTTATTCAACACATACGGTTCCCAGGTAGATCTCACTCAAGTCACCTTTCTGCTTGACCGTTGAGCAAATACCAACTGCTTTACTATGTTTACTATCTCTGACTCGTCTAGACACAGACAACGTCACACCTTCTGGATAAGTTCACAGAATGTATATGAAATAAACATTTTGGAAATTCCCATGTATTTATGGTTATTACATTACCAATTACAACACATTTTCAAACATCGATTGATGGGAATTCGTTAATTTACCGGTGATTATCCAGTAACGTATAAATATATAACTACTTAAATTACTGTGCTAAGTTTCATCAAAACAGAATCATAGAGAAATGATAATTGCAATGCTGGGTGGTCCTTATGAAGAAGGATCCTTGGCTTCATTGAGAATGCTATATACGTGTCTTTTTCAATTTTAACAGAGTGTTTGATTTCATCAAGTGTTTTGCTATAATAAGGAAGTGGCTAAAATAGTACAGAAAATGATAGGGATACAATATAAATTGTCTTTAGTAGATATATTTTAATTTATTTTGCAGTGATAGTGTGATGCACATATTATAATATATATTGATCAATTGACAATACCCGCCTTAAAAAAAATCCTAGATACGGCACTGATTTTTAATTATATCTATAACATAATAACTTATTTTCCTGTTTAATATACGCAAGTTTAACTATCACCATTATCACACATCGCTACAAATGTGAATAATATAAATATAAATCAAAAGTAATTTAAACGAAATTGTGCGTCATATCGAAGTGGCTCGTCTTACGATTTGTGCGAAAGCCAATCGCCGACGATTTTCAGACAAGTGATAGGTACTAAATCGTCGACTATCTTATCACAATCCGACCTAGATGTCGAACTTCCGTTGAGATTTATTATGGTTGAGACGAAACAGTCAGTACCGATTTCATATATCGTTTTGTTTATATTCGCACCATTATCCGATTGCCAATATTGTTATTTTCGCGACTTGTTTGGGCACCATTGGTTGTCGTCCCGGCGGCGCGGGTTTGATCGTGCCGGCGACCACACACACGCGAGCGCGCGCGACCGGCACACACGTCCGTCTCATCTCGGTCCGGCGGCGGCGTTATTAAACATTCATAAACGTGTCATCGTCGACGCCGCTGTCCTCCGTATATTATGCCTTTTTAATAGGTTTTTCACTCGTTTCTTCCCCCCGCGAGTGTTTATGTATTTTGTAGAGATAATCACTGTGGCCCTATACACTAATAAAAATGCACATAGTATAATAATATATGACCGTGGATCGCGATGTATAGTCACCGTGGACGCGAACAATTTAATGGCGAACCAATGGTTACCATCGCTTTAGAGTTCCTTCCTCCCTCCTTGTTTGTCCCCGCACCAAAACTTTTTTGTTTTCAAAATATTAGTTACCCAGCATTGAACACGTATTCGTATTTATTATACGTCCAATACAATTTACAATTAAAACAGTTTTTGGATATATGACGACGAGCAAACGTCCAAACATACTTTTTATAATCGTCGGCGTTAATATGACCGAAACCAACACAGAATTCGATATGAGATTTCGTGATCCACACACCCACATGAGTAAAAAAAAACGTATCCAAACGCTAAGTATAAATAAAATATAACTCCCAGATTTTTCTGTTAGTTGCTACAATAATAATGAACAAAAACGAACACACACAATTTAATTATTTACGTGTAATAGTCAATTTTCGCGGCTGTCACGAACTGCAACAGATGTCCATCAATACTTATGTACATCTCTTGCCATTACTATAATATTGGCTATAACATAGATATTTTGTATTGGCATGTAACCGACAAACCCACACTAAAGGTCTACATTGAATCATTTCAAAAATATATAATAACATGTTCATTCAAATATTTATACATATATAGGTAAATAAAGTTTACAACTTATAGATAAAAACCAAAAAATGTATCATATTATTGAATGTCATTTGGATTTTAAATTATTACATTTGTATCTACCTTGCGTTTTGTAACAAAACAGTCAGTATAAAACAATAATTTATAGCAACAAGTACAATATAGGCTACAGTTACCTAATAAAGTGACAACTGAGAAAACAATTTAAAGAACAGCAACAATAAACTGTCGATTTTAAAAATGTTTGTATAATATGTATACATCTCTTTATTTTTTTTCCCCGAGGCTTTATACCCCCTAGCCTCGGGCCTTATAGCTATAGCCTATTTTGCCTCCCCTTCAAACAGGCCGCAGCTCAACGGTTTTTACGAGTACGTCGACAGTCGACAGCCCAACATAATATAATTTTATGATATATTGATATATTATAATAGGTAACCTATACGTAGGTACAAGCTGACGATAAAAATGTTTTGACCGGTCTCAGCAACGTCGACATGAGAGACGATAATGTTATACTGTACTTATAATAATAATATGTATGATATACTACACGGTCGGGTGAGGTGCGGAAGGGACCCGGTTATGAAAAGTTTATAGTCGTATACGATAACCATATTATAATATATCACATATGTAGTTATATATCGCAATATGGTCGAGAGACACGCACTCGATCGCAACATACAATAGTATAGTAGGCCATAATATTATATTATTGTGACCGACGACCATTTCAAAAATTATTATCAGGTCGTACCGTGCAAACGGACTGGGAAAAGTGTAGGGGAGAAATCGTATAATATAATATTATTGTCGACACCAGCAAACTGCTTTTCGAAAGTATACATTGTATACATATTACATATTATTACATTTATATAATCCGAGCGAGGGGACCCTCCCGCAGTGGATTTCGTGTTGAGAACATTGCGGACGAAAATCAAAAGCCTATTCTTGAGTTATGATATATATATGGCAAATACAATGAGAGAGTAATTTTTCCTGCGAGGCGTATGGTAATAATATAATAATAATTATTATAACTGTATCATATGGTATAGGTATCCGGCGTTGTTTTGTGCGGATTCCGGTAACGTTTTCTAGTCAGTTGCACACCATAACATTGTCGGTCGTTAGCGCTATAGTGTTTTCATAATATAATTACTGTCTATTATTTTCCCAAACAACGCTATGTGTACAGAATAGATCGTAATAATGTACAAGGGTGGAGATACAAAGCTTTTTTAAGTTAGTGTTACATTTAAATAGGCAAACATATTCGCATAATAGCACGTCAGTATATAGTCCTCACCATTCTACATATTATTATTGTTGTTTTCAATGTTTTCCCTTATTATCATAAATTGTAGGTATTAGCTCTTGTGCAATAAACATATAATCAATTACAGTCAACAATCAAACATAATGTTGTGTTTTGTTTTTCTTATCGTTTTACATTTTTTTTATTTCCGGGATGAGGTATTAGAAAATCATTTCAATATCATATAATATTATTGTTACGTAATATGATATAGGGGTCCTTCAATCCACGGCCGCCTGGTTATATGAGGCTCGGGAAGACATTTTAAGAATATAGCATATATTTTGTAACACATGTTTTTGAGAATTGTCAATAATAATAGGAGGCCCGAAAAGGCTGAAGACCCCTGCTGTAAGATAATAATACTTGTAATATATGGAATATAGACAACAATTCAAGGGGGGGATTTCTTTGAGAGGGCTAAGCATCCGTAATAGGAACACTCTCTACCTCCCAATCACCGTCAATGCATATTCGTCTTATTCGACCTTATGTTGCACTACATAATATTAATGAGGTTTGTTCTTATTTTTTGTGTTTCAGGCTATGGAAATCAACGACTGAATAAGCATAAAAAAACAGTAATTTTATTCGGTGACCTCTCAAACGCTGCTGCTGCCCGTCCTTTGCAACTATTGGTGCCCGGACAGTGTTTCAGAAAATGGGTATACCTACGACGTGCATATAATATTATTGTTGTTGTACATCAGTAGACGGGGAAAAAATGTGTTGGAACGCCATAGATATTATGACCCCACGCCACCGAAGAAAACGCGTTTTTGACATAATATTACGATTTTATATTAGGACCCATGTGAAAAAAATCTTTTTATTATTATTATTTTTTTTTTTTATTTAGATATTTATTAATTATTAAACGGTCGGCGTGCATTTAGTCGACCGATTTCAAAACGTAACATGTGTACAGTAACATTGTTTGAAGAATGTGTGTGCGATTTATTACCTTTTCGAGATAAATTAGTTTGTGTAATTGTATATTAAAAGTGAACAAATGAAAAACATTAATCAAAACGTGTGCCCACGCACGATTTAGATGTTTATTTTTAAATTTAAAATAAAAATTAGTTCCTTTTGTATTAATTTGTTACATTTGCCTACTATATCATGTTAAATACGAATAAATTAACCTACACTAGTTTTGTTAGCCATATTATAATGTATAATGTATATTGTTTATTATGTAATGCAGTTTTGTGTGTGCCTATGTATATAATAATATATAAATTCGATTTCTTAGTTAGAAAAAACAACAAAACAAAACATTATGTCTATCGATTTTTATTTTTTTCGTTTTCGTGTTTGGTATAAAAACTGCGTATACTGATTGTAATCGAACGATTGCGAAAAAAGTGGTTTGAACGTTTATATTCGGTTTAACTTCGATTACAGAGAACTATAGCAATCGGACAAACGGTATGAAAAAATAAATAGTCCATCACGTTACAGTGCAGTGTTGGTACTTGCAGAGTCGCCGGTAAATACCAGTATATACTTATGGCTGGTATGTGCATTATACTTATGCATTATTCATAATTATTATCCAACAACATATAGGTACTTATACTAAGTATTAAATGCATACCTAGGTAGTATAAGTTGTTGTTTCTAGGTGCGCAGGTCTACGTCCACATACGATGGTAAATTGTACTACAACGACATCTATGACTGCCAGGTCACTCGTTGATAACTGTAAACAGTGTAAACACAATGAAAACATTGAAAATCCTGATATGTTGAGAAGAGAAATAATATTATATTTACAACTGCGGACATAAAATGTAATTGGTGACATGAAATACCCATAGGTATAATGATTAAGACATATAACAGATTGCTAGTTAGGTGGGTATATAGTTTCAAATAAAATGTTTTTTATATTAATTAACTAGGCATTGTAGGTATGTATATTATGATTGTTCTTAATAGGACGTAAGACCGGTATCTCTGTCTATTTATAGAATAACACAATTCCATACGCGAAATTCGGTCGTCTTGGTAAATGTTAGTTTAACTGACCGTCGTCAAATTTGAAGAGGGATTTATTTTTGAGATAAATATGTCAAACCAATAAAAAAAAATAAAATAGCAATGTACACTGCTATCTCTGTACAACACCACGCAAGGTCCACATACAGATAAATTAGTTTTTTAGAGTAGAGTATGCGGGGTACCAATGTACGGTAGGTACTAAGCCCAATTCCTGCGAGCCATATCAAATCCAGATCTAGAAAATGGTGATTAAATATAAATGAGTTACGTTCGCAGGTCCGTCCAGGGAAATGCCCCGAAATTATTAACTTAATAACATAAATGTTCTGGTACAAAATGAAACCGAAACAAGCTTAACGCTATCAGAATCTTTAAAATTACACTTCAAAAGTATACAAATAAAGAAATATCTGCAATAAACGAATATGCCAAATACATAGGCTTTCTACTTACAAAAATTAATTTTACACATTTAAATTTATATAATTGTATAACAAGTTTTCATACTTTTTAATAATATGAAAATGAAAATAAAACAAATTGATTTTTGGTGGATAGTGAAAATCGCCTCCTCGTGGATTCTGGGTAATGTTTAATTGTTTTCAAAAATATTATAAAGTCTTTACTATAGGACCCAGATTTTTATACAAGTATTATTAAATTAATTACTTATTACTAATTAGGGCATGTAGTTTTATTCGTGTCAATTTTACATAATATCAATCATTTTTACTTGGAAAAAATCTGTACCGTAGTTTACAATCACCCGTGTTATCAATTACCTTTTTACACTACTTACGCCTCCTACAATATTAGTTACCATATATTATGTTAATTATATACTTATTGAAGGTATAGATCATTTTATTTTACATTTCAATAATAATAAAATTAAAATATTATAATATGTTGGGAGTACGGAATATTTGAAAAAACTAGATCTAGATAGAGGGATAGAGATGAGACACTAAAACGGTTCCGGCCCTATACGATTATTAATGTAAGACGTAAATAATAATAAATTAAAGGTAAGTATAAGATAAGCGTTATGACTTTTGATAACGTATTATTATATTATACGTATTATACTAAATTAAAAAAAAGAACCGTCGGAATATTTGGTAGTTACATTTCATTTTTGGCATCAAATATTTTTCGACGGATTGGTTTTAAATTTAAAAACCGGAAGTGCGTGTATTTACAACACGACCGCGGCATACGTTCATGATGATCGTTCGTTTCAACAGAAAAGTTTTATGTTTTTCATACATTATTTTTAATTTATCTCAGATCCAATCTGCATACAAAGTTAAATATGCGTCAAATACTCGAAAAGTACAATTTAACAAAAAAAAAACTGTTTATTATATTATTGTTTACTTAGGTACATGAAATCGAGATATAATGTTCGTTTTCATTTAACAATTATCTATTGCACACTATCGTCTTGGATTCAAATTGAAAAAAAATGTAGGTACATGGTATGATTACAAAACGAGAACCATTGGTCCATTTAATACGCTATATAAATTTATCTCAACAAATGTTTTTGTATATTTGAACATTTTCTTAAAGAACCCGTTGAAGTTTTATACCTACTTAGCGTTTTAATTTTAAGATTTTAATAAACTTTTTCCTATAATTTTTTTTTGAACTGATATTACACTTAATTTAATAATACCACTATAGGTAATAGGTTTGTTAATTTTATGTCGTATGCGAACAATTATTGTTTGTGGTGCAATGCGTATTATCTACTGACGGAATAAACTTAATCTTTACCTAATAATTATTGATATACTAATAGCCTATACCAATTCATCTGTGGGGCTTTGATATAAAAATAAAATCGAATATTTGAAGAAAGTGAAAGTATGTAGGACATGTATCATCATCGATTGACAGAGATAAACGCGATAGGGACTTTGTTAAGAGGACCCTACACCTATGCATTTGTTGTCTCCGTCTTACACACGCACGACATAGCAAATTTCCATTCGCTAGTTTAAATAGTGTGTTGTAAGTTTTAATATTAAAGTAAATTGACCTATTATTGTACTTTTAGGTACGAATATTATCTGTGCTTAAGCGTTGGAGATTTTTCAATATTTTCGTTTTCAAGTAAGATATGTGTATGTGAAATACAAACAATTTAAAATTCTCATATCTAGCTTGAAAATTAAAATATCGAATAAAAGCCAACGCTTAAGCACAGATGATAATGTTATTATCTAAACAGGTTATAATAGGTCAATTCACTCTAGTATCAAAACTAACAGCATAGGTACTATTGAAACTAGTGAACGAAAATTTGCTATGTCGTGTGTGTGTAAGACGGAGACAACTAATGTATGGGTAAGCGTCCTCTTAACTATAAAGTATAAATACTAAAATACGGAACCACAATGGATGAACGAAATCACGGTTATAAACATAGGTACCTAATATAACATTATACCTTAAATCGGCATTAACATTTTGCCGACCCACAAACGTCTTTCACTCACTGAAAAAAATGAATCTTATTGTAGTCTTACACAATTGCAGTGGGATTCAAAAAAATTAAAAACTTAAATCGAGATAATGACTAATCAGTAGATTAGATTATAACTTTTCACTGTACAATTTTTTTTCGGCATACTGTAGGTATGTGGATACTATACTCAAGTAAACCGAGTGTATTTCAACGAATGCGTTAAAACTTACGAGTGCATAATATGGAAAATGTAACAGTAGATAGTGAATAAATATAACAATGAAGTTACTAACTATTATAAAAATAAAACGAACGCAGTTAGACAACCATGGACAATAGCTACAATATCGGAGCGGTTTCTGAAATAGCAGCTTCTAAAATACCAGGAACCAAAAAAAATAGTAAGCGTATAGACTGATTAAAAAATATGATATTATGGAAGTGGGTGATTCAAAATATTTGGTAAAAAAAATAAAAAAATATGATGAGGCAATTGTCCAATTAGTAGCACGCGAGAATTCAGAACGAAAGAGTAGACGCTTTTGAAGGACAAAAAAAGCTGCAGAAAAATGATACAAGCTAGTGATAAGAAATTAGTTATAATTGAAGTTGGAAGTTATGTTTTAGTTAATACTCCAAAGGTAGATCGAGGACCATTAGACACTCAAAATATAATTGGCAAAGTTGTCGACAAAAAAAAAATAACGTTTATCAAATTAGTACATGATTTGGAATTATAAATACGTGGTTAAGCAAAATTGTATTACAGACAACCGATGCAGAATTTCTTCACGAAGTAGGTACCAAATACAATGATGATATTAATATACAATGAAATATTGTTGTCGTATAATTATAGTCTAGTTGTTGCATAGATCTCTGCATTACCTTTGCCGTGATCGATGAAGGCAGGGGCGCTTACTCAAGTTGGTTAACCTAAACAAAAAACAAATTAAATTTATAAATACATCCAAGTGAAAAATAATTGTAAAAAATCTTAAAATATTTAAACTAAAAACAGAACTTACTTTTTCTTCCAACCTTGCTATACGGTCTTCAGCTCTGAAACGCAAAGTTAGAAAGTCATTAAATGTTTTTTTTTATATTTAATATTTGAAAATTCAATACAAGATACCTATTACAAAAAATAAAAGTTAATTTACAGCCAGGTTTACACGCTTGTTTTAGATTCTGAGTGAAACGATGAATGTATTGATTTTACAATGATGTGTGTTTTTTTTTTTATTTTTTTTTTATTTTTTTTTTTATTTTATTTTTTATTTTATTTTTTATTTTATTTTTTATTTTTTTTGTGTCTGTGTACACGATAAGTAGTCGAAATAATGCTTCGATTTTCGACTTCAGTATCTTGTTCGATTGGAAAGTGAATATCGTTGGTGCATTGGGGAGGTCAAAATTTAAATTTCCCAGTAGTTTTCAAGAGCGCCGGGTAAAACAACATAAAAATTAAGGAAAAACGGGAATTTTTACGCAAAATCGATTTTTCAGAAAATTGAATTTGGTTTTTGGTGTAACTTTAAAACAAATGACCGTAGGTACATGCAATTTTCACTGGTTGTTTATATTTGCATCTTCTATACACGATAACATTTTCAAAATATTTTGATTTATTTTGAACAGTTTAGGGACATTTTCATTTTTAGTTTTTTTTTAGTTTTTTTTCTAGAAATATCAATAAAATTTTATTTGTTGGTTGCGAAAGCTTGAAAATTTAATAGAAGGCTCCTAATATATTGTTTCAAGGGCAGATGAAAAATATTAAAAATCCTTAGTCACAATTTTTTTTTATAAGCATTTAAAGTTCAAAAATTGACAAAATATGGAAAAATCACGAAAATTAGCAAATTATTTTGAGTTAAGAATTCGTAAAAATTTTTCTTTTTAAATCTAAGATTTGAAAATCTAATACAAGATTACTCATAAGATTGTCTACCTTTATCAATAAAAAAATCTCTACCGGAAAGTCAAATTAAATTTTTATGAGCGTTTGAAATTCAAATTTTTACAACATTGGATATTCACTCGATTTCTCATGTGGCAATTTCCTTTTTTTGTTGTAATTAAAAAACGAATTACTGTAGATACATGAAAATTTCACTGAATGTTTATATTAGCATTTCCTATACACCATACAATTTTGAAAATATTTTGACTCTTTTTGAGCCGTTTACGGACATTTTCAGTTTTCAATTTTTTTAGTTTTTTTTTTCTATAAATATTAATTAAGTTTTATCTGTTGGGCCAAAAAGTGTAAAAATTTAATACAAGGCTCCTGATATATTGTTACAATATCAGTTGAAAAATATTAAAAATACATAGGCACAATTTTTTTTTATAAGCATTTTAACATCGAATTTTGACAGAATTTTTCAAAATCTCGAAAATTATTAATCATCGTAATTAATAAATTATAAAATGTTCAGTTTTTATAGCTAAGGATTGAAAATTTAAAACAAGATTTCACGTAAGTAGTTAATTCTCTTACCGAAAAATCTAAAAAATATACAATCACAGTTTATTTTTATAGTCATTTTATGTTCAAATTTTGACGAAATTACATATTAAAAAACCTAGTTATTTTGTTGTGATTATATAATATTATTCGTGGGTACCTACTTGAAACTTCTAAAGTGTACTATTATATATATATGATAGTATCAGGGTTTGTTGTTGGTGTATAACGTGTTATTAGTACCTAATGGATATTGTGATAATGTGATATGATTAATTTGGAATTTATTATAGGTCAATTTTTTTTTAATACCATAGATATGTATATAATTTGTCTTAACCTAGACTGACATACCGTCTTCGCTCAGAATCGTTTTTCTTATACAATGATATTGTATCATTGAATTCAAATTTAATAGCATCAATTATACAGTGACCCACTTGTAACCTACTGTACAGCAGAGCGACATCCACTTACCCACCTTTTTATTTCTCAAAATATCATAATATGCAGAGTTAGGTTCAAAAGAATTAATATATTTCTTTTTAGACAATTTTGGGATATTTATTTTTGTTTTATTGCAAATCAGCATACGTAATTGAGTGATACATATTATTTAGGTATTTTTTAGGGCCCTACACATAAAGTTATGTTACGCCGATCAACAAATCTTCTCACCTCGCATGCACACGTGGACTCGATAATAATATAGGTGTGGTATTTAATAGTTTAACGAGTGAAATCGGCTCCGCCAAAGATAATATTACATTTAATATTATCGTACAGGAGACGTCATCGTCGCAGTCGGCCGAGACAAGTACGTCCGGGCTCGTCTGGGCGGTCTGAAATGTAAAATATTCGTCCACCACCCAGCCCAGTGGTTTCGTTTCCGATTTCAATCAACGCAGGAAATAGTCCGTCGTCGTACGTTTTTTATTTTTGTTTTTAATTATTTCACTAACCCTCTCTCTGTCCGATTTCTTAACACACGACGATGGCGTTCCGCGAACACTCGCTGACACACAACGTCATATTATTATTATTATCGTCTTGTAACAAACCGTGACACATGTGCAGTCGTATATACAAGTGTATTATAAATATTACATATTATGTAGGTACTTGTACACAAAACGAGTATAAACTGTGGCCTGGTGTGGTGCGGTGGTTGGCCTCAGTCACTAACGTGTTCTGAGGTGAAGCATAAACAGGTGTCACTAGTTCCCGGATGGCTGACTACCGGGTATTTAGGGGGTAATACGGGTAAAGTAGGTAGTTATTGGCACTGGTGTAGTTATTGGCATAGTGAATTTGTTTTGCTGATAAATAAGTGTTTTTATCTTTTAAATTATTAATTTTTTTTTTATCAATTGGTTAAACTGATTAATTTTCGTTCCAAAAATTATCAACATTCTATGATCGCTGATTAATATTGAAAACACAAAGACAAAACTACGCCTCAGCTCGTCGTGGAAACAAGTAAGAAATTAATTATTTTCGTAATATATTTTGGTATGAATTTAAGCTTTTATTCCATTGTATAATAGCGTTAAATGTTAGTGATATTATTTAATGAATTTTAAGAATATTTAGAATGCAATCAACAAATTTATTTAATCAACTTTAATTTTTAAATTTGTTTTAAAGAAGTTGACAATAACTAGTATGCTTTTTTCATGATTTTCAGTTATTGTCATGGCCTGCCAATAACTGAATCAACATTAAAAATACATAATTACATTATTGGCATTAAGATTTATCAGAATTGTCTATATAACCAAATTTAGATTTTAATTAGACTATAGGTAGATACCTAATTTATTACTATTTTAATCAAATAATGCAGTTATTAATTTACAATGTAAACTGCTTTACAGAGATGCCAAAAAAATCAAATTCATTTTCTGATTTAAATCTGATAGAAGCCATAAAGGCAGTAGACAATGGAATTTCTAAAAAAGCTTTTGCCAAACAATTTGGAGTTGCTAGGTCAACTCTACAATTTAGAATAAAACATAGGGATAAAGAAACATTTTAATGTGGACCTTCAAGTGTTTTGAGTGTTGAAGAAGAGAAATCACTTGTTAAATGGCTTCTAGATTGTTCTAAAAAAGGATTTCCTAGGCGACGTGAGGATCTACAACAGAGTGTTAAATTGTTTTTGGATGACCAGGGAAGATCTAGTCCGTTTACTAATAATTTGCCTGGTAAGTAATTATAAAGTATATTTTAATTAGTAGGTAATTATTATACCTATATTATAAGTAAAGTGTGGGATATTTCATGTCAAATAATTTGAACAAATATAAATATTATGTAGGTACACTAAAAAAGTAAATTTGTTTCTATAAAAATAATTTTGTTTAATAAACAAATATAAAAATGGAAGGATTTATTAATTTAAAATTGTTAAGTAATTTAATTACTTTAATTAAGTAATTCAAATTTTATACTTACATGTATAAGCCTTTAATACTACCTAAGATTACTTATATTCTTTATATTTTTATGTATCAATGAATATTATTTTTATAATTTTGAAAAATAAAGTATTTAGTATACCTATTGAATACCTAGGTACTGTATGTCATGTATTTGACACCACTAGCTTAAATTAATTTTTATAATTTATTTATTTTAGGAATTACTTGGTATAAAGCATTTTTAAAAAGAAATCCTATAATTTCACAAAGAACCAGTGAGCATGTGACTTCTGCTATTGGAAATGTGAGCGAAGAAAATATAAAAAAATGGTTTAATGACATTCATGCATATTTATCTGATGAAAAATTGGTAGATATTTTAAATGAGCCAGAAAGAATTTTCAATGGTGACGAAACTGGTTTTTCACTCTGCCCTAAAACCAAATCTGTCTTAGGCCCAAGAGGGGCTAAAGATATTTATGAAATCGCTAAAGGGAATGAAAAAGAAAATATTACTGCCATGTTTACATTTAATGCAGCTGGTCAGATGTGTAATCCAATGATCATTTATAAATATCAAAGAATACCTCAAAATATAATTGACACAATACCACCTCATTGGGGAGTTGGGCGGTCAGATACAGGTTGGATGAAAGCAGAAGTTTTTTATGAATATATAGCAAATATTTTCTACCCGTTTCTTGTTGAAAAAAATATTCAATTTAAAGTTCTTCTTTTTGTTGATGGGCATAAAAGCCACTTAACATATCAATTAAGTACTTTATGTTCAGACTTAAAAATAATTTTAATTGCATTATACCCAAATGCAACCCGTATTTTACAACCTGCAGATGTTCTGCATTTAGGCCTTTGAAATCTGGATGGAAAAAAGGTTTATCAGAATGGCGAAATAAAAATCCACACAGTTCGGTGACAAAAAAAGATTTTGCACCGATACTTGATGCTGTATTAAAAACTACTGTTAAAAGTAGTACCCTAATAAACGGTTTCAAAGCATGTGGACTCTTTCCTTGGAATCCAGATCAAATAGATTATAAAAAATGCTTGGGTAAAAATTATTTTTCTACTATAAATGAAACAACAACAACAATTAACATTGCCAATAATATCAAAAATTTAAATCTTAAAGAATTTTCTGATATTATTGGCATTGAAACGTTAGAAAAATTTAATAATATTGAGAACATTGTTGAAACAGAAAATCAATCTGAAGAATTTTTTATTTTATATAGAATTTATGAACAATTAAAAGGTAATCAACAGAACAGCGAAGTAGACCTTGAACTTGAAAAAGAAAAATCTAATGCAGATCAGTCAAACTCTGCTATTGTTACAACAAGTTCTTCTGAAGTGGAATTAGAAAAAGAAATTTTAGGGACTCCAATTAACCACCCGGACACCCTAATAAAAAACAATAAAAATCATATAATTCTAAAAAAGTTAGAAATATCACCAATTGAGTCATGTTTGATTTGGCTTGTGACTCCTGAAAGAAAAGGTACAAGAATAACAGAAAGGGTACCATATGTAATTACATCAGATAATTGGAAAAACTTATATGAAAATAAAGAAAAAAAGAAACGGTCTATTGAAGAAGAAAAAGAAATGAGAAAGAAAACTAGGGAAGAAAACAAAATATTGAAAGAAATAAAAGAAATATTGTAAAAAATTTATTTTCAGATTTAAGTAGAAATTATAAACCAGAAACAGTGACTAGTCAAACTATTAATTTAGAAACTTTACAATTTAAGGATTCATATAATATTATAGATGAACTACCAAGTTCACCAAACCCTTGTAGCAATATCTATAACAGTTGCATTATTAAAACAGGATGTTGTAAATTATGTAATACTGACATAGAACAATCAAACTTGGGTATTGAATGTAATTTTTGCTTTGATAAATTCCACCAAAAATTTGCCAACTATGATTCATTTTGTGATCTTAGTAGTGATGAAACACTATTTATATGCGAAAGTTGTGAAAAATCGGTAATTGTTAACTAAGTTTTATTTTAATGTTTTGATAATGATTAACTTGCATAAGATTTTTTTTATACCTATTTAGTTTGTTTTTATTATTCTTGAAAAAGTTATTTTCTTGATTTTTTTATATTAACTATTTTTAAAAAGATTTTCATGTTTTTTTTTTATTATTATATTATTCAAAGTTCTACCAAGAACCTACCTACCTATTTGGTACTTACATTTGTTTTATTTAGATATACTTTTGTTGTTTTTATAATTATAAATTTGTTAGATATGTTCCTATATAAAGAGATAATTAGTTTTATTTTATTGTTTTGATATTGATATTTATTTCATTATTTTATATTTTAATTAACTTACTCAAGATTTGTATACTTATTTTGTTATTTTTGATTATTCTTGAAAACATTATTTTCTTGTTTTTTTTTATATAACCTAATTTTGAAAAGATTTTCATGTTTTTATTATTATTATACTATTTAAAGTTCTACCAAGAACCTAACTACCTATTTGGTGCTTAAATTTGTTTTATTAACTAGGTATACTTTTGTTGTTTTTATTTATAATAAAAATTATGTTAAATAATAATAGTGATTTATATTTTTTTAATTGTTACAAAAATTGTTGCACACTTTGCATAGGACCTACTACTTAATCATTATAAATGTGAAATTATTTTCGTAAATTTTATTACCTGTGTAGAGGTAATACACTAACACTAACTGGAATCGTTAAAAAAAATAGTTGTAGACAGTTTAGTATTGTAATCACTATACAATATATACCTAATATGGTATGTGTAATTTGGTATGTGATTCAATTTATAACAACCACTGCATAGGTAGTACCTAAGTATTATGAGGATCTGTGATATATTTTTAAGATAATTATACATTATTGTTCAAAGAACATAATTTAATGGTAAGTACAATAATTTATCAATACCTATATACCTGTAGATATTTTTTCTTAACAAAAAAATAGTAAATAACTAAGTTTCTAATAGTCTCTAAAGAATTAAAACATAATTTGTCATATAATTTTAGTGGGTGCCAATAACTAATGATGCGAGTGCCAATAACCTCAACAATGGTGCCAATAACTAAATGTTTTGATATTTTTGTAAAGAACTATAAATATAAAAAAACCTATTACTTCTAAACCAATTTTGATAATAAACTTAGAAAGATAAAAACATTTTAAATAAAGTCAAAGAGAATTCAGTAATTTTAACCATGGTTAAACACAAGATATAGGATAGGTAAAGAGCGAAATTTCCTTAAGGTGCCAATAACTGCCTACTTTACCCTACAAGTGTATTATAAATATTACATATTATGTAGGTACTTGTACACAAAACGAGTATAAACTGTGGCCTGGTGTGGTGCGGTGGTTGGCCTCAGTCACTAACGTGTTCTGAGGTTAAGCATAAACATGTGTCGCTAGTTCCCGGATGGGTGACTACCCGGGTATTTAGGGGGTAATACGTTTTTGAATAAAAAAAACTGATTTTTACTATTGTTTTCGATGATTTTTATTAGGTTTTTTGTGACAATCTGAATTTTAATTTCATACTTTGAATTGTTGTCTAAAGCAGAATATTTGTATGGACGCAATTTATACCATAATTAGGGGAGACCGGGGTTATAATTGTCATAGTTTTTACTAACAAAACTTAAAATGTTAGTTTGGTATGTTAAATTTTTTACGTTAAACTAACCACTCCTCGGTAGTTTTATTACAGGTTTATGCAACGGCGTGCGTATATGTCGAAATTACATCAGGGGAGTGAGACTGACCAAATAAATTTTTTAATTTTTACCCCAATTTAAAATTTCGTTAAACATTAATTTATTTTCTAGGTGTGGGGTTTTAAAAATATTGCCGACCAAGCTAATTAATGTTTTGAAAATAATATATTTAATATAATATTATTCTCATTTAGTTTTCATTGTTTTTAATTTATTATTGAATTAATTAAATAAAATTAGTTAATTTTTTTTTGTGTGTGTTATTTGTAACAGCTTATAATAGTGATACATATACCGATAAATATCATATACATATATATATTAACATTAACTAATTATAGAAAAAGTTGTTATAAAATAAAACATGTATATGAAAAATATATATATTTTTAAATAAATCTGATCTATATTCTTCAACTTCATAATCTCCTCTATTCCTTTAAAAATGTTGACTTGCGATGCCAAGGCGTATCTCAAATTTGGCTGTCCGTAAAAAAAGGCCATTAACCTCGAGTTTAAATGCCGATTTTCACTATAACGCTTAACTGAGTACTATACCGACAACATGTGTGCTAACTTAACGATATCCGTCAATCAAACTTTAACTTGCCTAACCTATAACCTATATAGTATTTATTATTAAACAAAACTACTGTAGGAAAGTTTTTTTTTAATATTTTTAAAATATATATATACCTACCTACTGTGTGTTGATTAGTTGTAGTCAGCAACCATTGTTGAAATATACAAGGTTATTGCATATATACCCTTTCTCAATCAAATATTTGATGATTAAAAACAAAAATAGCAGCGTAAAGGGAGTCATCTATTTTTCATGATAATAACAATTAATATTTGTGATAGCAGCCATTTTATATGATGCAATAACCTGTATATTTCAACTGTATGTCAGTATTCGTAGAGAAGTAGCCCTACAGCTCATGGAAAAACAATTTAGAAATTGTATATTAATATGTTTTCATACCATAATAAGTAAGTTTAATAAGTTTAGTAAAATTTGATAAGTAATAGGTTTCTTTAATAATAAAAATGCAGTTTATGTGTAGGTACTAGGTATTATTATAAATCACCAATTATAGGTGTCTAATCCATTAATTAAGGACATTATACATTATAAACCTACCCAAATACCTATTTATAGAATGTGAATAACTTTATAAACGTAACCTGATTACTGATTATTAATTCGTCAGATTGTACTAGAAAAAACGTTATCACTAATTCCATAATGGGTTATAGATAGTATTATAAACAATTTTTGAAACGAACTTTTTGTATGGCACGATGCGGGGCTAGTCGGGAAAAAACGTTCCGGACGAAATACTATTATTAATAATATATTAAACAGTTATTTTAGCTAAAACATCCTATTTTCATTTCATCATACTGATCGATCTGGTAATGCAATAATTCTTTTAAAAACAGATTTGAATTCGTTATTATTACTTGACATTAGTCAGTCCACTTTTAAAAAATTAGTAATAAGTGTCCTGGGAGTAAGACAACAACTAAGTAACTCCCACAATGCCGTGCAGTAACCTTACTTGACATCCACCCATTGGAAATGTATATTGAAAAATAGTAAGTAGCAGGGTCATCTGAACACCTTGTCCAATCTCAAAAACGATCACACCTATCGCATCACTCCGGCCGACAACAGCATTTTTCGGACTGTAGGCATCCGCAGAGACATGGTGACCCACGTGCAATACATCATTTTAACCACATACACTTACACAATCATAATGTCAAAGTTTCGATTCACAACCAGAAAAGTTTTAACGTTTCTACGCGATCACCATTTCCTCCTGCTGTCGTCCGAATACGTCATCCGGTTTCCAACTAGGTCCCACTCCATTGGGAGTGAAGACCACACATGCCTCCTCTTGCAACATTTTAACCACATACAATTACAAAATCATAATGTCAAGAGTTCGATTTACAACCGGGAAAAGTTTCAACACCAACAATGCGGAAAATATTGATCCTGTGCACGGGAGGGAGCCACCACCGCCGAGAACATTACCTGGTATTGGAAAATATTTAGACTGTCGTGTTATGTCATAATACGGTTGCTATGTCGCAAATTATGAAATGCAATACCGTTATAACATTAAATATTGCTGTTTTCCACTCAAAATTAGTTTTTATCTAACCTCAACGACCGCGATTCCACAAATCGAAATAAGCCAGTCTTGAATTTTTTCTTCAGTGATTAATTGGATAAATTAAATAACATTATATAATAATACTACTTATGTACAAATACAATAAAAATATATAATAGTAATTTAAGTAGGTAATTAATGTAAATAATTTAACGTCAACTATAGTAACCTCGCAGTTGTTGCCGTAAAAAAATTAACAAAAAATAAAAAGTAAATAATATGGCTGTTATTGCTTTTTGAAAATTGAATAATTCAATACTGACACATATTTTGAGTGGCAAAATGATATTGAATGTGCCATCCTTACATTCTATACTTTAATCATAAAAATAAATACTTCCGTTCATATAGAATGTATTACTATTTGGTAGTTAACACAAGTACCTATTACAAGCCATTTTCATGTTGAGACATCCAAGTAGGTACTCTTATTTTAAAATAATATTTACAGTGTGTATATTCTAATAAATGTGGAAAAAATAAATATTATCCGACGTACTAAAAAGTAATCCATGGACGTTGTGTAAATAAAAAACTTAATTTCACAAGGTGCACAAAACAAGAATGAACAGGTTCCATATTCGTGAAGTGGACAAAACGATTGTAGGTACACGTCGTGTTAGTATAATAACGTTATCATATTCACGATACAGATATGTACTTGAAAGTCCACTTGTAACCCGTAGCCCAATACTAAATATGTATTATTAGTGTTTATCTGTCGAGGAGTGAAAATATCGAAAGTCCCGATATCTGAGACCGCCCGTCTCTTCAGGTGAATTGTAGGTAACCTACCTATGGGCTATGATAATACACTCGGGAGATTTATATATGTAAATTTCGCGCGATCCGAAGGAATGACTTAGTTAAAAATAATTCCAGAAATAAAAGGTACTGCGTAATAATAATAGTCACACACGGACGTACCAATAACATAATATGGCAATCAATAGTTGACGGATAAGCGACGTATACACCACAGGTTTGAATGCTTATTTTATTTATATTTATAGTAGGCACCTAATATAATGTGTATAATATATAGGATGACATAAAATATTTTACAGTCGTTTGATATTTTGTATCGAGGTTTGTAATCTGTACAAGTATACAGCTATAGGTGCAGCTATATATTATACTAGGTATATCAATTATCAACTATCTAGTACCTAGTTAATTATAACCACTTAGTAGATAGGTACTTAAAAAATATTTGCATTATCTTAAATGTAATTATTGTTTCTCAAATCATATAAACGCAGATATTTAATCAAAAATCATAGATGTAATGCGCATGTTTTAAATTTGAATTCAATGATATAAAATTATTGTAGGTATGCGAAAAACGATTCTGAACGTAACCGCTCTGTTAGTCTATAATATAACTATAAGTAGGATAGGTATGTTTTGTGATTGAAGTAATTTATTGTATCTACCATTAGGTAGGCAGTTTTGGACTACGGAAGGTTAAATTCATTTTTGACGAAAAATTATATTTTAAATGGGTTTGAAAATTTCATAGTGTATATAAAATATAATAATATACCAACACTAAAAGTTTCAAGAAACTACCCCCGAATAATATTTTTAAACTACAACAAAATATCTAAAATCGTTATCTTGGTTTTAATATGTTTTTTTTGTCCAAATTTAAAATAGATTAGACTTAAAATAACTATAAAAAAATTATGTTTCGATTTAAAACGCACTCAAACGTACAAGTATACAAGTAGAAATGTATCAACATAATGTAGTCAGGTACTACGCGGAAATATACATCGACGACAATTTAAGGGAGATATTAAAATACGACATCGATTATAAAAACCAGAAAAAAAAACGTCAAGCGTTAAAAACGAAATTGTTTTCGAAAAAAACTGAAAAGAAAATTTAGTGATTTCACGGGAAGCACTTTGAAAGTTATTGTAAACTGGATAAAATGTAATTATTAATTACAAAACAATGAGTACCTCATAAAAAATTTCATTACCAATAATAATGACATTATGACACTTTATGTTTTAGGGTGTGTTTCAAAGTATATATTTGTTTTTTACATAGTTACCTATATTATATTTTGTTAATTAACTATAACCCACGTTATACGTTTTCATTTCCAGAAAATTTTCAAATCCTATTTCCCGGCGGCTTAGAAGAAAGAAATTACTGAAAATTTGCTTACCAGTCTGAAGACACAAGCTTTCTAATTTTGAAGGAGTTGTATAAGTTGAATGTTTAAAAAATAAAAGTTTTGCACTAAAGAAAACTGATATGAGACAGCGTGACCCACGTGCGATACTAGTCAACACATTTGTGCATCATTTTAACCACATACAATCACACAATCATAATGTCTAGAGTTTCGATTCACAACCGGAAACGTTTCAACCCCAACAATGCGGAAAATATTAATCCTGTGCACGGGAGGGAGCCACCACCGCCGAGAACATTACCTGGTATTGATAGACAAGTAAATGCTCTGAGAAATTGGTAGTTACCTAATGAACAATGATAATATTATTCGGGGCCGGATTGGTGCTGTGGTCACGCAGTTGACTACGACTCACAGTCATCGGTTCGATTCACAGCATAGTGCAAAATAAATTTGGGTTGTTCTACCTGATCACCATTTCCTCCTGCTTTCTAGTGCCTTTGTTTTACTTGATTGGTTATGTATTTATATATTTATATAAGTTTTACCCATCCTGATTGATGTATGAACTTTCATCACGGACGATCGTCATATTTTCATTTTTACCACTCGTATAAATAATTTTGAGGAATATTTTTTTAGTGTTCAACGCTAACGAATTATGTAATATCTGGAAATGATACCTGTCAGATTTGTATTGAGTATGCTCTAGGGTGGTCCTTTAACCCAACCCAGGATGCCAGGATTTGTTAAGTTAAATGAGAATGTAATTTGGGTAAAATGTATATAGAACATTAATTGTAGAACATAATGGTGTCTACAAAAAAATAAAAAAACAAAATTTTGTGTTATTTTATTATTTTCAGATATACCTTTATACCCACCTATATTAAAATACAAAAAAAATTTCGCAAACCCGTTTATTTTAGTTATTTGAATTTTTGAGAAATATTTGGAGATTACTTTAAATATAATTTTCTAAAAATGTAATGCAATTATAATTTAAGAATAACCACTTAAAACTTTTTCAACTATCATTAAGAAATGTATTATCACAAATAGATTGTTCACTTTTAGGTTTTTCGATTCCTCAAAAATTGAATCTACCTATACAATCAATGACATAATAAAAGTTCAATTATTATTGTGAATTTTAATTTGTTTTCAGATTATAATATACTGAACAATGTATACTATATTATAGCAGTGGTGTATTGCTAAAAATATTCTTGGGTATACGCCTTCTAGATCTTAGGTATCAATGACATAACTATAACATTAAATCAAAAAAAAAATTTTCTTGCTTCACTCGAATACGATAATGACCAAATTATCTAATTATCAGATTACAATTAATATACAAGTATCTTTCAACTAGGTACTAACTGAATGAAAAACAAAATTAAATTAAATCACGAAATGACTTTTTATTTTAAATATTTTGCTTTTAAAACCAAAATAGTCAAAATATGCACTAAATAGGTTAAGTAGGTATTTCATCCCGAATTTTGTGAATTGTATTTTTTTTCTCCCATGTCACAAAATTAACCATAAAAACTACAAAGTATGTAAATGCATGCAATTCCTTCCCCTACACATAACATTTCAGAGTATCTAATTATTATCAATTAGTAAAATACTACAATATAAAACATTTAACTAAAACCAAACAATTACAAATTGATAAAAGTTTTCTTTATTAATAACAAATTAATTCATATAAATATAATAATAATACATAGGTATTTTAATAATTATTATTATAATCTATAATATTTTCCAAATGCTTTTTTTTTCCTCTCTTGTTTCTGGTTCCTTATTGACGTTTTTTTTTGTTCTGGTATTTTCAGCAGTCTTATGATTTACCAACCAACTACTGACATAACTTTTTGGTTCCCATTCATCTAGTGGAGGACCATTTACATTTATAAACATAAGACTGGCTAAATGTTTAATAGTTAACGTAGAACGTAACTTAGTGCATATATTGTTCATTAGACTGAACCCCAGTTCGCACTCTGCTGTTGAACGAGGAAATGTTTGTACCAAGTTATAAAATTCAGGCATAACATTTTTAAATGAAACTGTTTGATCATCTAATATTTGTCTGAAACCATTGATAGCATCATTCTTATTGACTTGAAAACGTTTACATAATCGTTTGATTTCATCTTCACCATAACGTATATTATTATAATTTATGTCTTTTGGCCACTCACTTACATCTATAATTTGCATATCTTGGAGTATTGATATATCTTGTTCATTATCCAAGAGCCTAGCTTTTAAGTTATCAACAAGACTGGTTAAAAATTGATTTTGATTGATATTTATTAGTTTAGAGTTTTTTTCTAATGTAATATTTTTAAAATTCATGTTATTTGTAGCATTTGTCGCTTTGGTCAAATATTCACCCTTTAAGTCTTTTAATAAAGTCAAAACTCTTATACTTCTATTTATATGTTGATGAGCTTGAATTAAAGTTAAAGAACGCTTCTGGAGTATGTTTGAAAAACAATAATAATTAATAATTATACACTATCACAATTCACAGTCCACAGGTTTATCTGATATATTCTGTCAAAATATTTTATAGCTGATAATTTAAAAATATATAATCAATCTACTAATCTATTTAGGAGTGATATCCACTTGAAAAGTGCTATCACTGACCATGGACTGAAAATGATTAGTTATCGGGGAAAGAGTTTCTTGCCCAGATCTTGAGTTTTCTACTGCTTCAGTATTTCGTAAACTTATGATAAGATGTAATGTCAAATCATTGAATGTAGAAGGTCCATTTTTATATCACATGTTTCCGAGACCCAAGTCTTTTACTACTGAATCCTTAACAGAAAGAGGTCATAATATTATATATTATATATAATTTTAAGTAGTAATATCAATGTACCTTTCTAAAACTACTTTTTTTTTTTACCTACATTATGAATGCTAAAATGCTAATAATATATATAAATTAATATATATAGCATTTTATCAATACTTTATGGTTAGGAAAAGTTAGGTTAGGTTAGGTTTTTATAAATAATAATGTATTAGATGAGTCCATCATCATTGAAACTGACAATAGTGACAACTATGAATCATTTGTTAATAATAAAGCAGTAGAATTATTGTCGAAATGGTATAACGAGTCAGGGCTACCAAGAAATAAAGTTCAAAGTATTATGAATGATATAACAACATTTTTAAATGATATAGTTCCTCCTTTGAAAACTGAAGTAGAATCAAATTTTGCTGGTGATTCCATAATATGCCTAAATGTTAAGTTTAATATTTTGTGTGATCCTTTCAAACATTTAAATACTGAACATAAAAGATTTAAAGCATTTCACAAATTGGGTACATTGATAAAACCACTTGGTTCTGTTGTAGGTTATAGACCAAATGATTCTCTCCAAAGAGGAGATGTGATTATTAAATCAATTCCTGTCAAAATCTATAGTGTAGAACTAGAGAAATTATTTAGACAATTTTTTGAAGTACCAAATGTATATAATACCTTTTTAAAATATTCAGAAACTATAATAGAAAACAATGATAATTTGATCCATAATTTTATACAAAGTCAAATGTGGAGAGATAAAATTTTACACTCTGATAAAATATTAATTCCTTTTTTCTGTATTTCGATGATTTTGAAACAAATAACCCTCTTGGAAGTCATGCTGGAATACAGAAGTTAGGAGCAATTTATGTAAGTTTGCCTGGTTGCCCTCCTGAATTTGCTTCTAAGTTAGAAAACATTTTTATGGTTTTATTGTTTAACACTACTGACAAGAAACTGGTAGGGAATCGGGAACTCTTTAAACACATAATTTTAGAAATTAATGATTTGGAGTCCAGGGGTATTCAAATATGTGTTGACAATCAAAATATTTAAATATATTTATCATTAGCTCTAATATTAGGTGATAATTTAGGCTTACACAGCATTTTAGGGTTTTCGGAAAGTTTTAACGCAAACTATCCTTGTAGATTTTGCAAATGTTCCAAAGCTGAATGTAATTATTTAACACAACAAGAACAGTGGAAAATTGTTCAATTGATGTTAACATTAAAAACTTATCTATAACTGGTGTTGTCGAATCTTGTATTTGGAATGATGTTACCTCTTTTCATGTTGTTCATAATTATTCTGTCGACCTCATGCATGACTTACTAGAGGGTGTTTGTAATTATGATTTAACAGGTATTTTAAGGCTCTTTATAATTGATTTTAAATATTTTAGTTTAGAGACACTAAATCAAAGGATACAGTATTTTGGGTATGGTCCTACCGACATTAGAAATAGACCTCAGGCAATTTCGGAAAATAATTTAAAAAATAAAAAGCCACTAATGTTAAAGACTACTGCTAGTGAAATGTGGTGCTTAACTAGATATCTAGGTCTGTTAATAGGAGATATGGTGCCTAGAAATTCAGAAATCTGGGAATTATATATTGTATTAAATAAAATGTTAAGTATAGCAACATCAAATAGTGTTGGACCTGAATGTCCATTTATATTAAAAAACTTAATTGATGAACATCATCAATTGTACACAAAATTGTTAAAAACAAATTTAAAGCCTAAGCACCATCACCTATTGCACTATCCCTCTATAATGGAAAGAGTAGGTCCATTGATAAATATTTGGTCAATGCGTTTTGAGGCTAAGCACAAGGAATCAAAAGTGGCTGCACAAGCTATAACCAGCAGAAAAAATATCTGTTACACTTTATTTTTGAAAAACCAACTCAAAGTGGCTCATCGAGTAGCCAACAGTATTAATTTTGATCCATCCGCTCTATTTAAGGTTGGTAAAACAGTTTTTATTTCTGAGGAGGAACTAAAAAATATTTCTAGTGTCTTGAATGATGTTAGTGGTTATACATTTATTTCATGGGTTAATGTAAATGGTACTCATTATTCTACTAACAATATGTGTGTTTTTATATCAATAAATAGAGAAACTAGTTTACCAGTGTATGGATTAATAAAGCATATTTATATTTTACCAGACATGATTCCTGTAGCTATTTGCTCTTTATTTTGTACAAATAGTTTTGACGATCATTATCAGTCATATGTTGTAAATAATACTAAAGAAATTGTAAAAATTAAAATAACCGAATTACCATATAAAAAACCAACTAGTTATCATATTCACCCGGATGGTTTATTATATTATATTACATAATGTTTTGTATTTTTTGTATTTTTGTATTTTTGTATTTTTTTAAATAATAAATAAATAAAACAACAACTTATATTATATTGTTATAAACCTACATATTTTTCCTATTACATTTCCGGGCAATGCCGGGTAATTCAGCTAGTATTAATATATAAGTATTTACATTATATATTTACTTTTTATTTTATGTGCATTAACATGTTTAATTGACTATGCATATAACTATCTATTCATTTTTTAAAACAATATAATAGCTCAAATTTCAATCTATTAGTTATTGTATATAAATTATTCAATGCATTCAAGATACACATGTTATAATATGAAATACCCGTGATACCTATTATTTAATTTATTTTTGTTTAGATTAGATGTCTACATTTTATAGAAAAGTTTCTAATGCTACTGCGGTAGCAAATACCTACATATTAAACATTATATTTCATGCAATATATTATGAATGTTATAATTTTATACACTATATTATATAGTTATTATATAGGTACTTACAGTATAATTATATACTATGTCCTACACATAATAAAAAGTGAAGTGAACTATATAAACTAATGTGACACTAGCACTTTTCTTTGGTAAAATTGAATGTATACATAAGTACAATCAACTATTTTGTATAGTATAGATAAATAAAAATTATGGTAATAATTATATATTTTTTGGGTGGATTCAAATAAAATGATTAGTATGGTCACCTATATCTTAAAGTAGAAATAAACTAATAATATGGTAACAGTTACTTTCTTCTTTAGTCAGTTTAAATAACAATTAAAGTGAGATTACCCATATTTTATAGTATAAGTGACTTAATAGTATGGTAATTATTACATTTAAATTTGGTTATAATAACATATTTGGTTATAGCTAACATAACTATATTACACAGTTAAAATAACCATAATACATCAACCGAATTCATATGGTAAATTTACCTATGGTGTGTGGCTGTCACTATACTACACCAACATTTTGGTGTCGAATAACCATTTAAATGGTTTTTTTAACCACATTTTTTTTCCGTGTAGAGCAGTGGTTTTCAACCTGGGGGTCGCGAATGATAGGTTTGGGGGTCGCCAAAAATAATAGATGAAATGATTTTTCCATTTTATTTAAAAATAAAATAAAGTTAATTTTTAATTTTGTTTTATATAGACTATTTACTCATTGTATGATTCATAGGGAAGCTTTAGCATCTAAAAAACTTGAACCATTTGTCAACGAAGTACTACAAGATGCTATACGTGTAATTAACTTTATAAAATCAAAATCATTAAATTCTAGATTATTTACGATACTATGTAATGAAATGGGATCTGATCATACAAAACTACTACTTCATACTGAAGTTAGGTGGTTATCCCGTGGTAAAATATTATTAAGAATTGTTGAGCTTAAAGATGAAATACGAATATTTCTCCTTGAACATAAAAATACACTCGCAGAACACTTCTTAAATGAAGAATGGTTAGCAATTTTAAGTTACCTTGCCGATATTTTTGAAAAATTAAATAATTTAAATTTAAGTCTTCAAGGTAAAAATACAAATATATTAATTCTCTCCGATAAAATCGATGCTTTCAAAAAAAAAAAATAAGTTTATGGATAAATTATATTAATAATGAAAACTTCGAAATGTTTTCATGTTTTTCAGAATTTATTGCTGACAATGAAATATTTGATATTAAAAAAATAAAAGACATAATATTACTTCATCTCGAAAATTTGAAAAACCATTTTAACACACGGTTTGAAAAGTTTCCAGAAAAAAAGTTGGGATGGATAAGAAATCCATTTTTTATTAATATAAATGAAATGAATTCTGAATTAAGTTTAGTTATGAACGAGGAATTAATTGAGTTATCTGCCGATGAAAATCTGCATATAAAATTTAATGAAACTACAAGTGATAAATTTTGGATTTCTATAAAATCAGAATACCCAGAATTGTCAAAAGTAGCTGTATCAACACTTCTGCCATTTGCAACCACTTACCTTTGTGAAACGGCGTTTTCAGCTCTTACAGTTATAAAAAACAAATATCGGACAAAATTAAACTTAGAATCAGATCTAAGAGTTGCAGTCTCTAATATAAAACCTAATATGGAAACAATCATTTCAAAAGCTCAAGCTCAAGTATCCCATTAACAACAGTTTATGTATTATGTATTTTTTTTATATTTAAATTTATTGTATATGCTTGTATTGTTTTAAAATAATGTTGTATTATGAATTAATTAAATTTTTAAGTGTAAATTAATCAAAATCGTATAACAAATAAATATTTTTGCAGTAATTAAATCAAATTTTGATGAATAGAACAACTTTTTTTTTGAAGGGGGTCGCAGTACAAAAAAAATAAAAATGGGGGGTCGCGACCCAAAAAAGGTTGAAAACCACTGTGCTAGAGTATAACGTAATACACACGCGGGGCCTATAATATATAGGAACACTTCTAGTATTAAATGTATGTACATTAATATTGAATAATAGTTTGGTCCCCGGATTTCAGAAGAAACCTGCAATTTTACGAGCGAAGGGCCAGCGAAGGGTCTTCAAACTCAAGGGACCTCGCTCCCGTCGCCTATCGGCTCCGGTCGCCAGTTAGAGTATAACATAAGTCTATTGAAGCTCCCTACGCCTACCGGCTCCGGTCGCCAAACTCGAGGTCCTGCGATTGTATTAACGTAAAATCGCAAACTTTGGAAGGCTGTAACTTCCAAAATAATCATTTCCGCAAACTAATTTTTACACCATCGTTTTAAACTCGTCGAAATACATAGGTTTTCGACAAAAAAATCGAAAAATTCGAGTGGGCGCTAAACTAGAATTATGCCGAAATACTTATTTACCTAGTTGCATTATCCCGTCACCCCCTTTTGAGACTTTAGAATTTTTTTCTTGGTGTTGGTAATTAATTTAATCTAGAATTTATTATACTGCAGACTGCAGAGTCAACATTTTTTAGATTCTGAGCGGAGCGATGAATGTATTGGTTTTACAATGATGTGTGTTTTTTTTGATTTGTGTCTGTCATCACGTTTTGGGACAGTAAAAGTGCTTGGATTTTCTTCAACAGTAGCTTTTCTGATAGGAAAGTGAATCTAGTTGGTACTTTGGGGGTCAAAAGTAAAAATTTCCCACTAGTTTTCACAAGCGCCGCGAAAAACAACATAAAAATTAAGGAAAAACGGGAATTTTTACGCAAAATTGATTTTGGTTTTTGGTGTAACTCTAAAAGAAATGGACGTATATACATGACATTTTCACTGGTTGTTTATATTTGCATTTTATATACACGATAACGTTTTCAAAATATTTTGATTTATTTTGAACTGTTTAGGGACATTTTCATTTTCCATCTTTTTTTAGTTTTTTTCCTAAAAATATCAATAAAATTTTATTTGTTAGTTGCGAAAACTTGAAAATTTAATAGAAGGCTCCTAATATATTGTTTCAAAGACAGATGAAAAATATTAAAAATCCTTAGTCAGAATTTTTTTTTATAAGCATTTAAAGTTCAAAAATTGTAAAAATATGGAAAAATCACGAAAATTAGCAAATTATTTTGAGTTAAGAATTCGTAAAAACTTTTCTTTTTAAATCTAAGATTTGAAAATGTAATACAAGATTACTCATAATTTTGTCTACCTTTATCAATAAAAAAATCTCTACCGGAAAGTCAAATTAAATTTTTATGAGCGTTTGAAATTCAAATTTTTACAACATTGATGTTCACTCGATTTCTCATGTAGCGATTTCCTTATTTTGTTGTAATTCAAAAACGAATAACTGTAGACGCATGAAAATTTCACTGAATGTTTATATTAGTATTTCCTATACAACATACAATTTTGAAAATATTTTGACTCTTTTTGAGCTGTTTATGGACATTTACAGCTTTCAATTTTTTTTAGTTTTTTTTCTATAAATATCAATAAAGTTTTATCTGTTGGGCCAAAAAGTGTAAAAATTTAATACAAGGCTCCTGATATATTGTTACAATATCAGTTGAAAAAATATTAAAAATACATAGGCACAGTTTTTTTTTAGAAGCATTTAAAGATCAAATGTTGACAAAATTTATCAAAATCTCGAAATTATCAATCATTGTAATTAATAAATTATAAAATGTTCAGTTTTTATAGCTAAGGATTCCAATTTCAACACAAAGGTTCTCGTAAATAGTTCATACTGTAACCAAAAAATCTAAAAAATATATGAACACAGTTATTTTTTACAGACATTTTAAATTCAAATTTGGACGAAATTACATATTAAAAAACCTAGAATAACTATTTTAGTTATTTTGTTGTGAGTGTATAATGTTATTCATGAGTACTTGAAACTTCTAAAGTGTACTATTATATATCTATGATAGTATCACGGTTTTTGTTGATGTATAACGCTTATAAGTACCTAATGGATATTGTGATATGATTAATTTGGAATTTATTATAAGTCAATTTTTTTTTTAATACCATAGATATGTATATAATTTGTCTTAAACCTAGACTGACATACCGTCTCCGCTCAGAATCGTTTTTCTTATACAATGATATTATATCGTTGAATTCAAATTTAATATCATCCATTATACAGTGACCCACTTGTAACCTACTGTACAGCAGAGCGACACCCACTTGCCCACCTTTTTTTTTTATTACCTATCATATGTTTAAAAAACTGCAGGTAGAAAATTAGAAGGAAAATTAGATAAGTTATCAGAAAAGGACCCAAATGAAGAGGATGGACCGGGAGGATCTCCTCCTCCTCCTTCAGATAATGTTGATTAACAAATCATTTGTGGCGTACTCGGGATTTTTATAAGGGAGGTGTCATAAATCATAATTATATGCATGAATTGACCTTTTTTTTTTTGCTCATCCCTCTAAAAAATCTTCTACACTTGGAACATAAGTTTTTTACACAGTTAATATTGTGCATCTCTAGCTCGTGCGGTCATTTGTAAATTTCAAATGTTATGC